TGTGAATGAGTAAGGGGTAGTAGCTAGCCCTACTCATTTACCAAATATACCATAATTGTAAATAAACACACCACACCATAAAAAAATCCTTTGAGGGGGAGAAAAAAAAAAACAGGTTTTTGACAAGTCTTTTATTTAAATAAATTTAAAAAAATGATTCAGGAGCAGAGTTGTTATTATGACGATTCTGCTCTCGTATGTCAACAAAGGAGTGAAACAAGTCCTATGACATCACAACTCACCCCACCCTTGTTGATATTCAGTTCAGAGCTGTCATTTTGCAGTCAGAGTTTGTCTGGTTCAGTAGTGTCGGGAAGCGCCGTGTATTTTTTTTCTTCCGGCAAGTTGGCGGCCCTCGTCCATCATAATTGACGTGGATCTACATCGCTGGACGATGTGACTGACGTTTGCATTACATCAATGGACGTATTTTTTTTTTTTTTTTACGGTTTTCTTTTCAAATAAAAGGACTTTTTTTTACGGTGAGATGTGTTTATTTACAATTTTACTGTATTTGGTGAATGAGTAGGGGGTAACAACTACTCCTTCCTTATTCACTTAAGCAATAACTCATTGGATGGGGGACAGAAGAGTAGGAGTGGGAGAGGGGCCTATCACACAAATGTGTAGTTAGGCTTTGTTCACATCACTGTATTGCAGTAATGAAAGTTATTTTCAGTCCTTTGTGGCGCATTGGCAGCTTATTCAATTAGGAACACACCGATATATCGGCAGGTACAATTTGTATGGCAATACAGCAGCGCAACCCTGCTTTCTTTCCTCCCTGCTGGGTGCTGCTCTGCGTCCCAGTAGGGAGAGAAAATGTCACAGGCGGCCGAGCGCTGCGGGAGGAGAGCGCTGTGAGCGGCCAGCATTTCTCCTCCTGTCACAGTCCGGCAATGCAGTGTGTGGGCGGAGACAGCCAGCGCTGTCACAGGAGGCTGAGCTCTCCTCACCGCACCGCTCAGCCTCCTGTGACAGCTTGTCAGGATGGAGAGCGAGTGCAAACACTCAGCGATCAGTGATTGCCGAGTGTTTGTACATAATATGGTTACTATATCCTCAATTATGAATGAATGGGAAGTGATCTACATCACCTCCTGTTCATTCATGATTGTGGTTATAGTAAACACACTATGTTCTCATGTTATGAATGAACATGAACACTCAGTATAGAGGATTCCTGTTCATTGATAACAGGGGCTGCAGAAAAAGAGATTGAGGGCTCTGTGTCCTCAAATCTTTCTTTTTTTAATGGGAAATATCAGGGGTCTGTTCAGACAACTAATATCTCCCCGAAGCCCCTAAAAGTAAAATAAAAAATGAATATGAGACCAAAATTTAGCTCTTTGTGATTAACTCGACTCACCGTGCTTGGAGGACGAACAATGCTGACTATGACCCTAGGCACACCATTCCTACAGCTAAGCACGGATGTGGAAACATTACGGTTGGGGCTGTTTCTCTGCTAAAGGTACAGACCGACTTTGCCGCATTGAGGGGCCAATGGACGGGGCCATGTATTGTAAAATCTTGGATGAGAACCTCGTTCCCTCAGCCAGAACACTGAAGAAGGATCGTGGATGGGTCTTTCAGCATGACAATGACCAAAAACATACCGCCAAGGCAACAGGCAGTGGCTCAAGAAGAAGTACATGAAGGTCATGCAGTGGCCTAGCCAGTCTCCAGACCTCCAATCCTATGGAAAATTTATGGAGGGAGCTGAAACTTCAAGTTGCCAAGTGACAGCCAAGAAACCTTAAGGATTTAGAGAAGATCTGTAAAGAAGAGTGGACCAAAATCCCTCCTGTGCAAACCTGGTAACCAACTACAAGAAATCTCTCACCTTTGTGCTTGCCTGCAAGGGTTTCTCCACCAAGTACTAATTTATGTTTTGCTTGGGGATCAAATACTTATTTTACTTACTGAACTGCAACTTAATTTATAACATTTGTATCATGTTTTTTCTGGATTTTTGGTTGATATTCGGTCTGTCATTTAAAATACACCTATGATAGAAATGATAGACCTTTCATTTCTTTGTAAACTTACAAAATCTGCAGGGGATCAAATGATTATTTGCCACACTGTACATACTTTAAAACAATCTATGAATAGAAATATATAGGGGTCTATTTATAAATGTTTTAACCCAAGATTCACACAAAATAACACCCAAGATCCAGTTGGAATAATTTGGGGTGAAACCCTT